AAATTAAAAAAAAAAAAAAGATAAAGAAGATGACGGTGATGAAGAAAGAAACGGGTATCTTGATGCGCCCACCCAAATTCACGGAGAAAGAGAATAATGAGTTAGGGTTATCTTTGTAAATTTAAATGAAAAGGAGAGTGTGATAACACATCCCACCTATAAGGTGGGATACACAATACCGAAAGTTGTTAATAATGGATCGGGCCCTTCAGTTATAACAGGCTTAGAATGTGTGAACCAAACATATTTATGGACATGAAATAATAACAACATGAAGGATATCAAGCCCAATCCAACCAACCAAACAGACCCTTACAACATAAGTTAAGAGATCTTTGTTGTATTCTCAATTTAATATATCAATCGGCTATCTTATCACCAACTTTACGAGAGTAAAGTCTGATGTACGCCTTCAATTCACTAAGATCCTTGGAGCACAATAATAATAATAATAATAATAATAATAATAATAATAATAATAATAATAATAATTGAAAAAAAAAAAGAAAAAAAGAAGCCTCCCTCGAACGTTTTTTGTTCAACTGAGACATTCAGAATGAAGAAAAAAATGCACAGACAAAGTTCTCCCCATTTTCCTTTTCATTGAACTATCATTAATGCAACTACTTTTGACAAAAGGAAAAAAATTGGAGGAGTGTTCTTGTATCAGAACTCCAATGACTTCTCATACTCATCATCATTAGGAGATCAAACAAATACATGGGTACGAACTTCATCACTAATGAACTCTTATTCCGGGCGGCATGCTATCGCAAATACCCCAATTCAAGTTCCAAAAGAACATTTCAATTGCAGAAGCTGTGCAGCTATTTTATGTTCCACCAGCTCACAACCATCAAGTTGGGGCTGAAAAAATGGTAAAAAGCTACCCACCTTTATCTTCTTTTTTCTCCAATGTTACTAACGACTTGAACCACAGCTTCCAAGCAGCATCCTCCTGCTGCTCGAGCCATGAGAGAAAACAGCTGTCCAATAAACAAAACAAGTTGACATAAAGAAGCTGATACCGAACGGGAACAAATCGGAAGTTGGCCACCTGAACTATTGGCCAAACACCTCCCTCCAAAACCAGGGCGGGTAAAAAATCTCTCTTCACATCTTCTTTGACCTGGGCTGTGGTTTTTCCGGTCGAGAACCCCATGTAAGTGAAGAAAACGAGTAAATCAAGCGGCCCAAAGATTATGCCGTCTGCCGCAACTTTTGTGC